ACCTAGTTACTAATAAAATCAGTTGCACCTTAACTATCATTACAAAGAAAGCGAATCTCGTTTAGATTCGATTCGAAATTGATCCTATTGATTTCATAAAAAGAAGTTTAATCGTCATTTCTCTCCGAATATGAAATGACTTGCTTGGTGATAATTTTCACAATTAAATTATGATTCAAGCAAATGCATTAGAAATTTATTCAAATGTACAATAAATCTTGTATCGTCTGACAAAAGTTAGATAAATGCACATTTCCAGCATTTATCTGATCATGCAAATAATAAATGTACAAAATGCTTCAAGATATCAAATGTAAACGCAAAATGCAAAGTATTATTAATATATTTAATGGTTTTCCATGGTAAAGTTCATTTCCTTTGCCTCTTAAAATAATCATTTACAAAGTCTGTTTCAATAACTTGCATCAGTTTTTTCAACCTTTTCATGAAAAGAAGAAGAATAAGCAAAATGTATTTCAATCAGGATTAAATTTATTGTTTGGTTTGTTTTACAACCAAAAATGTACTAAAACAATCAAATTATATTTACTTTTAAACTGATAATTCAATTTATCATAAAAATTGAATGTATAATGCCTTTTAAGTGAATCTTTCCTTGTGTTGTTCAATCCCATGAAGTTCAAGAAATTTTATTCTTAAACATTTACTTATAAGCTTCACTATACTTTGTATAATTATCTTGACCTTAAAATCCTAATGACAAGAGAGATGAATAGTTATGAACATATTTCACTGGAATCCAACTAAATTCTTGATCCAGACGAAAAGTCAAAGACTCAGTTTGCTTTCATGAATCCATTGGTTAACTTGAGCCAACTAAAGTAACGATGAAATTCATTTGGGTCAGTAAACAGTTTCAACTTCCAACACATTTCCATGCATTTTCACGTCTATCAAGATCATTTAGCAGCTAAACATTTGTTTTCACTCCATTTCAATTGTCTTCTGTCTTTAAAAAGTTAAGTCAGCCATTTAGATACGCAAAAGATGCTCTTCTCATCTTCATTTTGGTCCTTTTATTCATCTTCTTCCCTGTCAATCTTTTCCTCTGAAAACCTTTTCTCAACATCAATCCAAGTGACATTCAATTGAAACTATGAAAATAAAAGCTCTTCAATCCTATTTTGAATCTATTCCTATGACAATATCACTTACGAACCGTTTCAATTTCATCTGTGATTAAATCGTTTTTACCATATTTTCCACTTCGTTCAACCCATCAAACTGTTAATCTGCCTTTTCCCTGTCACAGTTTCAATTTAAATTCAATTCTTTTTCAATCAACTTTTTTTTCACAAACTTTACAACTTTTGACCTTTCTATTAAACCAACAATTAGTAATTTCAAACCTTTTCATTTCAAACACAAAACTGATAAAACCAACTCCCAGACTAAGAATAACAATTCAAGTAAACTCCAACAGTTTCTTTAATCAAATAAACTCTGAAATCTTTAAACTTCCATCCTGTCAAAGTCTCTCGATGATCAACTCATTATCAAGTTGATGAACAAAACTTGTCTTCTTTTGACAAACTTTTAGTGAAACAAGAAGAAACCTGATTAAACCTTTCATCATTCATAAATAAAATGATGTGATGATAAACCTGTTATTTATAGACAATGAAATCTACCATGAAAATCTCACCTTTTTTTATTCGTTTTTTTCTTCATCAAGGAAACAATGAAAGTTAAATGCGATATTTCAAGATAACGAGTCGACAATTAATTTGTGTGAAAAGTTTTTATTCCCTGTAATTGAATCAAACTAACTTGAAACGTATTTTTCTGTCAACATTGAGTTTAAAGATGATCAACTTGGTACAATATTTGAAATGTACAATAAATGTCTAATATTATCCCAGCGTCTTCACTCCCTTTATCCCTTTACTAACTATTATTTTTTGTCTCTTCTTCCTCTTCTTCAAGCTTCAATTCAATCTGAACACTATTTGACAGAATTTGTGTATTCCTTTTGTGTTGCTTTTAATTCCTTCATCAAATCATCTTGAGCTTGGATAACCTTATAATATTGATCCTCAACTCTTTTTCCCTCTTCTTCTTCCCATGTTTGCCAAAAGAGAGCAAAAAATCGAACAAAGTTTTTCTTTTCATTCTCTTGAAGATAGTTTAACAATCAACATTTTTATTATTATTCTGAAATTACTGCTAACAGAGACAATAACTGTTTCTCGTTATCCATGCATCTAAATATCTTTCATTGTTCAGGATAATATTAATGAAAGTTTTCCAGTTATTTTAAGCTTATATCTTGTTCATCATTTTGTTGTCAATTTACTTTCAATGCCAATTATTCAACTAAACTTTCATGGTTACATTTTTTTCACTTTTTCAGTCTCAACCTTTCAACTTCATTAAAGAATGATAATTAACTAGAAAAGCAAAATTGAAAAGCACCATTTTCTATGCAAATTTTCTTGATAGTTAAAGAAAAGGTTTAAAGTCAATTAATGAATACATTAACTTTTCTAATTAATTCATTGACTATTCATTTCATTATTTCTTTGCCATTCAAATCGCTATCCAAGAGGTTGATTCATAACCCAATACTCTCATCTTATTTGTATTGACGTTTCATTGTAGTGTATAAACATTATGGAAACTATGAGAATCGAAAAATAATGACCAGAACTGAAATCTGATCTGAAATGAGATCAAATCTATTAACCCAAGCAATAATCGAATCTTACTTCAGAAGATTTATCTCTTCATGAAGCTATTCAAATCGACACCTTTTTTTGTAATCAAATAACTTCATGTTGTTATATTTTGAATCTCACAAATAGATTTTGTTGAATGAAGATTCTTTTCAAATTTCATTTCTGATCCTAATCTTGCCCTGTTGCTTTGAACACTTTCAGTTGTTCCATATTTTTTTGCTAATTTTGAAGCGTTTCATTATAACTCTTGAAATTAATGATGTGTGAATATGCGATTCCAGAGTTTTTAATTCCAATACTTTGTATTGGCGATTGAACTTTCGTTTCAATTGAACTCACGTTCAATACTGTTATCCAGTCTAAGCTCATCTGATTAATCTTATAAACATGATCTGCTTAGCAAGTTACAATATCGATGTAAAGAAACTTCAGAATATTGCAATCTCGTTGTAAAGTTTTCAACAGTCAATGAGCCACTTCAATTGACTGAGCCTTTTCTGCATTTCTTAACTTTTCCAAAGAACTTCTCAGGATTAATCTTTTAAAACTCAATATTTCAGAAACTGTCTGCATTCTAACTCTATAACATTGGGAAATGAACAGTCATGTCGTGCTTTGATTGTAAATTGTGATGGATTGCAGTTGTGCAAACCATTTGTTGATCATTTACGGATTGGATGATTTATCAGTGTTTATTTAGACACTTTAATTGCGACTCTTTTCATTTACTTTGCAAAGAAGCAAAAGAAAAGTCTTCAATAGACTAAAGGCTAGTTTTGTTTATCATGTTAAATATACCATGAAATTGTATTATTTGATTGAAAGTTTGAATGTAAACAATAACAATGATGAAAAGGAGATGCAAAAAGCTGTGTTCAAACTGTTCAAATCAATGAACTGTTTGCATAAAAAAAGATCTCACTGAACATTTAGCTAACTTAATGTTTATATACTTGATTTGCCTTTTAAATTGACTTTTCAATTCTATCCTCAACCTTATCATCTTTCCTCTTCATAATCTTCATTCCCTTCCCACTCACTTTCCATTTAAATTATCGTTAGTAATCTTATTGGGAAAATTTTCTCTTCGAATCAAAAGCAAAAACTTATTAAACATTAATGGAGTTACTTTTTGACTTTTTTCAAATTTATCACTTTTCCAATTTACTCTCAATTTTCAATATTATTCCACCATTTAGGACAATTTATTCACTTTGATTGATAACCTTTGACTCAGAATTCATGAATTCTTTGAAAAATCGAGTTATCATCAGAAGTTTAAATAAACCAATCAATTGAAGTTAATTTTTGATTAAACGATTTCATGGAAAACTTATGTTTCGAAAGTTGATCAATTGTTGGAATCATTGTTCGCCTTGTTAACCAACAATCACTTTCATTGCTTTGTTTCGATTAATGATCTCGAGCAATTTTTCAACATGGCCTAATGATTAAATATGTTACATTTAATTTTCATCTGATTGTTGGTTAAAAGACCAGATAATCTGATTGTTGAGAAATGATTAATGGTTGAGAGATTTTTTTGTAAGCAAAAATGAGAACAAAGAAAATGCTTGATTAATGTTGTCCATTGAAATTAATTATTAAAGGTTGATCAAGAATTAGATGTTCATCAAAGTGTTAATTCCCATTATGCTGAAGCTTATTATCAATTAGTTGAAGGCTTTATTAGATAATCTTTTGATTGCTGTCAATCACTCATTTGCATTTGTTTAAGCCTATTTCATGTTTCAACCGATCATATTTCATTGAGCAAGCTGATTGAATGACATGTTGAAATTTCAGTTTCATAATTGTGTTTCCATCTTTTTGCCTCTTCTTTATTTCTGTACTTACTCTAGTTACCCAAATATTCAAAAATTAAGTGTCACATTCAGCTAAACATGGAATCATTTCATATTTTCATTTCATCAATTTCATCATTTTCTATCAATTTTACATTCAATTTTATCGCTCAAAATTGTGTTAATAATTTGGAAAGCAAAAGATAGTTGGTTGTCATTGAATGGAAGAGAAATTACTTTTTAAAATTGATTTAAAAAATGTCAATGTTGACTGATGAAACCACGACATGATGAAATTCAGTAAGATTGATCGAGTCAATTTATTAAAAGGACAAAACGAAATTTGAACAAATCTTTTCATTGGCAGAGTTGAGACCCAAAAATATCATTTTCGGGTGAAATTACATTAAATTACATCACTCTCTGTAACCTTTATAATCTTTAGACTCTGTTTTCTTCAGCCATTTAATCATCATTTTTCTCTCTCCCAATCCAGAATTTTTTACGTTTCTCATGATTCATTGGACATGAAGATATTTTCCTACATTGCCAGGGAATCCAATGTTTTCAAATGTTGTGTCTTTAAAACACCCAAAAAGGTAAGCTTCAACACTTTTCCTCCCCTTCCATTGTAACCAGATTTTATAACTTCATTTATCTGGTTTTAATTTTTTCTTCATTTTCTCAACAGTCTCAAGCAATGAGGATTGTCAGGACAATCGGTCAAGCATTTGAAGTTTGCCATAAACTAAGCGTACCATACAATACAACTGGCTCAATCCAAGACGAATCAAGTCCAAATCGTAACCAGAGAAGTGTGACAACAAATCCTATCGGCAATAAACGAGCAACCGACAATGAAAGCTTAGGAAGTCCGACAAACACTGAATCCTCATTGACACCCGTTAGTCCCAGTCATCTGAATAATCGTCCAAACACACCGCCAACACCTACCTTTGGAAGCATCCAAAAATCGACTGATGAGGGTTGCTTAGATGATCGAACTACAACCAACAATATAATCAACAGCAGTACCATTAATAGTATCAATAGTCTAAGTGCTCACACAAACACAACCAGTAACAATATGAACATCAATGAGAGCAACAATAATGCGTCCAATAATGTACATTACAATTCATCTAATGGCAATAACAACAATAGTCACCATCTATGCCGAGAGTCTCTTGTCCATATATCTGATAATCAGTACGAAAGTTTGGTGACTTCATTGAAATGTTTGGAGGAGAAAATGTATAATCTAACTGATCGTATTTCAACGATTGAATTGAATCAGGAAAAGTTGCTTGGAATGGTTGGTAAACTTTGCGCTCTTCAGGAAGAAGATAAACTGAATTGCAAGGATAAACAGGTCAATTCCAGTACAACCAATTGTAATGTGAAAAACAGCAACAGCTCAAACAATTTGATTCAACCTTCATTTCAAACCATAAAACCTACCTCTTTACCAGTGACCAATGGAAAATTGAATTTCCCTTCTGTCATTAACAATAAATCAGTCAACAATTTAATAAACGGTCCGTCAACATTAACAGTAAATCCAGTGACCACAGTTACAACCAATGCAACCTCCAATGGAACAACCATTCAAAGTCCTTCTCTCAATGAGAGTCTATTTTTCAAATCTGATTCCCTGTTTTTCGATTCTGAACCATTAAGAGATTCTCTATTCTCTTTAAACGATGACATTTTCTCAACCAATCAATGATTATGATTATCGAGAAAGGATCAAATCGAACCAGTAAATAAGATGAAAACAATTAGCACTCTTGGTTGTAAAAAGAAGACAATTTTACACACAAAGTCACACTTGACGAATCTAGAGCAACAAGAAATATTCCCAATGGAAAATATTGAGACGAAAATTAGGAACCAAATTTGACATGAAATTTGAAGATGACACTTGGAAACGTTGATAGATTGGACAATTTAACGACCCAAACGACTCAACCATTTGACTTGATTTTTCCTGTTTGACATTTCTTGTCTTTCCAACTTCATGGTTAAATCAATTGAAAGTTGCAATCCATATCTAAATAATTGTTATTATTTAGCCATAAATCATTTTGAAGTGTGCCTTTGCGATAATCATAATCATTGTTTCCTTTCGGATTCTCTGGTTAATTTCAATAATTAACATCTTTGTTATTAAAGTAAGCAGGATGGTTCAAGAAAATGTAATTGGAACAAATACAATCTTCATTAAATCTTGGTTCACCCAATTTTAAGTCAAAGAGTTGTAAACAGATTTTCAAAGATACGCAAAGTAAACAATGGATCATTACCTTGACCGGATTGTATGATTTTATATTTAAAAATGTTGATTAAGGAGATTAAATTTTGGCAAGTTGAACATTGTTTGTACCATTCCAGCTCATTACATTTTACACTAAAGCCAAGTCTGTGAAAAATACTTGATTTTCAAGATAATTGTTCATTTCCATCTTGATCATTCAGTCATCTTTATTTTCATCATGTTATTTGCTCCATTGTGATTCATCATTACTTTGACTGTAAACAACTGTTAATTCAACTTGCCAAAGATTGTTCAATCGTAAAAGATATTCTTAGTACATTGAATATTGAAAGTAACCCAAAAGAGTACAATTCATCTATGCTTCCAAATCGACTGGATAAATCATCATTGGATTAACTTTTTAAACAATAACTTTGCTGGTTTTATGGGTTTACCTGGCAATTTGGAAAGGTCCAATGAATTGAGAAACATTTTGGCAATGTTTATGATGTCTGTCTGACTTCACCCAATCTCTATCTTCACACCACCATCATTTCTTAATATTTATTTCATCATTTCCAATGTTGATTCTCTTCTTTTTCCGGCCTAATCGTTATGATTAATCACTCATTGCTGGACACAAAATGGTTAAAATTAGTTAAAAAAGTTGTACAACAGTTCACACTTTGAATGCAAAAACAATGGAATCTAATTTTGCAAAGCAATCCAACATTGGTACTTCTCTCATCTACACTGGCAAACGAATACATCAGTCATGACTTAATTTAATGTCTCATTGATTATATATCATTGATTATTTATGTGTATATCTAATTATTTTATTTATTAAAAATGAATATGGAAAAATATATTTTAGTTCTTGATTTACTTTTAATTTTTCTCGATTACAAGCAATGACTATTTTATGCAATATAAGTGCATATCTTATGTTACAAAAGATAAAAGAAACGATATTTTTAAATTATTTACATGACTCGAATGAAAAAATACAGCTCTGCGATCGCAATCACAGTGGATGCAGCTAAAGCAACAATTATCTGGAAAGGTATATCTTGCTTGGGTAATGAATACTCAACAACTTTATAGATGAAGTAAAATGAACAAAGTACCACCAATAGACCATTAATCAAAGCTGTAATAAGCGATTTGATTTCTTTCACTTCTTTAGATAAATTTTTATTTTCTTTTGAATTTGCTGATGTCAAACATATTCCATTGGACATTTTCTTGTACTCTTTTGCAGCAGCTTCACATTTTAACTTAATCAGCCTTGCTTGGAGTTCAGGTTTCTTGTTACTAGTTGGAATGATTACATTTGTCTCCTCAAGTAATTGATGAAAAAACAAGTCATATGAAGGGTCCAGCTTCTGTAAGCATTTGTGCACGTCAGTGAGCTCATCATACGAAACCATTTGTTTATCACTTTCCTCTTTGTCCATGATTTCTTTCAGTCTGTTGATGGTCTTATCATCTGCATCTTTATTTACATCATTCTTTAGGCATTTTGAAATAATTTTACGAATTTTAACGTTCATTCGATATTCAAATTCTCTAGGATCCAGTTGTTTATTTTCAATTTCACTAAATTTCACCATCTTAAAGACAAAATAAAAGCCTTTTGAAGTAAAGGTTTAATTTGATGACGGTGAAGATACAGCAAAGCTTTTATTAACTGTGTATCAATACACCATTGATTAAGGCCGTATTAAGCGCTTTGACTTCTTTAGCTTCACAAAATTTACCTTGTTTACCTTTTAACGATGTATCGATACATCACCATCGCTATCGTTGTCTTTTCAATATCGATTTTTGGGATTTAAAATTTTTTCCATGCTCAAGTTGAGCAGCTTAAGTCTATTTCATCACATTTCTCATATTCTGACAAAACTCATCGTCTTTTTTGCCTGGAATTTGATTTCAATTCAAAATGGATGACGAAGCTGACATTTACAAATTATGGAGGATTAGAAAAACAATTATGCAAGTAAGTTTGACTAAAGATTTTTGGTATGTATGTAAATATTAACCTTATTGTTTTATTTTTGCTAGCTTTGTCATGACAGAGGATATCTTGTGACTCAAGATGAACTTGACCAGACTTTAGAACAATTTAAGGAGCAGTTCGGTGATAAACCAAGGTATGCCATTAGATTTTATCTTTAAAAGTACATCCAACTTAACTAACTTAACATTATTCTTGCATTTTGTGTTTAGCGAGCGACATCCATCTAGAAGTGATTTAATTGTTTTGGTTGCTCATAATGATGACCCAACTGGTAAGTTATTCATGACAACTTTTAAATTTCACAATATTCATCTAAATTTTTTTACCTCCGTTTAGATCAAATGTTTGTTTTCTTTCCGGACGAACCTAAGATTGGAATCAAAACAGTGAAAAATTATTGTCAAAGGATGCAAGAAGAAAACATTTCAAGAGCCTTAATTGTTGTACAAATGGGCATGACACCTAGTGCTAAGCAAGCTCTTGTAGACATGGCACCAAAATATATTTTAGAGCAGTTTCTGGAATCTGAACTTTTGATTAACATCACTGAACATGAGGTAATTTACTTCCTATTTCTTATTTGAAAAACCATTGCTAATTTTTACCATCCTTTCAACAGCTTGTTCCAGAACATGTAGTTTTAACGCCTGAAGAGAAGTCCGAACTTTTGACAAAGTATAAATTGAAAGAAAATCAATTGATGAGAATTCAAGCAAGTGACCCAGTTGCTCGATACTATGGATTGAAGCGAGGACAGGTAATGTTTACATTCCATTTTTGTTGTTTACATTCAAACTGAAGCAATACGAATTGAATTTAACTTTCATTTTTATCTCTTTCAGGTTGTAAAAATCATTAGACCTTCAGAAACAGCTGGACGATACATTTCCTATCGATTGGTAGTTTGAAAGCTTTGAGTTTACACGATCAAAGATAAAGTGACCAAAAAATTTCCAGTTTTCTAATTAACACCGGCATTGTTATAAAATATCATATTCAAGATGTCAATGCTTTTATTGTAATTCGATTAAAGTTACAATTTTCCATTAGAGTTTGTTTCTTATTTAAAGGGAATAAAAAATCTTACCCAAGATAGCATATAAAAGTGGATTGATTTTGCCGGCACTTTTGAGTGACAGCTCCTGCAAAATGACAAACCCAACAAACATGAAGTATTTGCATTGAGTCAGGTGAAATAAAAAATTATAGCATAATAGATTATGAACTTTATTACTCTTTGATTTCACCTTTTGTGTGGTCTGTGATTTATAAACAGTCTCAATATTTATTTTTAAGATGTTTTAAAAATTGTAAAAAGCGGGGTTATTTGCTGCGCGTGACACCTGGTGAAAGTAAAGAAAAATTACGAATGGAAAAAATATTTGTCTTGTCTTGAGAGTGAAATCCTCCCATCAAAATCAAAACAAATTCACCAAAATGGCTGGTAAAACTGTCCATCACAATAATAAGGATTTACCAGTCCTCAAAGTTATTATGGTTGGTACTGGAGGTGTTGGTAAATCAGCGTTGACCCTACAATTTCTTTATGACGAGGTAATGATTTACGATTAACTACCCTTTCTCTTCTTTTGTACACTAACATTTTTAAACAAAAATTCCCTTTCCATTACACACTAACCGAAATCTCTTTCCAACATCTGTTCTCTTCTCTTTCCTTCAATGTTTGAGTTTTGACTGTGTTAATTGTCATTAACTTGTTCGCCTGTCCTAATTGTGTTCATTTGTCATATTTTATTGTTACATTGAGTTCTCATTTTTTTTCTTTCTCGCCATTCCCTTGGCCCTGTTTTTTTCGTCTCGCTTTTTCTCTTTCTCTCTCCTTTCTTTATTTTCTCTCTTCTCTCTCTCTTTCATTTTTTTCTTTCTCTTTCTCTCGACCTCTCCTCCTTCTACTCTATTTGCTTTCTCTTTGCCTTTTCGTTTCCTTCCACGATTGTGATCTGTGCAGTTTATTGAAGATTATGAGCCAACCAAAGCCGATGTCTATCGTAAACCAGCCAATGTTGATGGAGAGGTTGTCATGGTGGATATCTTGGACACTGCTGGTCAAGAAGATTATGCTGCTATTCGAGATAATTACTTTCGTAGCGGTGAAGGTTTCCTTTGTGTCTTCTCAATCCTCGAGATTGAAAGCTTTCAAGCTACCCATGAATTTCGTGAGCAAATCTTAAGAGTTAAAGGAGACGATGTGAAAATCCCTTTTCTTCTTGTTGGTAATAAGGCTGATCTCGACGACAAACGAGTCGTACCTAAGTCTGAAGCTCAAAGATTAGCTGATTCTTGGGGAGTGCCATACATTGAAACGAGTGCTAAAACTCGGGTTAACGTGGATACCATTTTCTACACTTTAATGAAAGATATTTATAAAAAGAAAATGGCTGAAGCAGCTACAAGTAATGGACCTAAAGCCAAGAAATCAAAGAAAAAGAGAAAATCTAAATGTTTATTATTTTAAAGATTGTTCCATAATTGATTAATTGTTCCAATATTTTTCCAACAACTGTTTGATGTAGGAAACGGCTTCCAAAACTTTGGCTGAGTTCACGTTCCTTTTGTCTCCGGCCATATTTGAACTATTACTTGGAATACAATTCTCGGGTTTATATGGTGGTTGGATGACAACATTTTTCATCACGATAATATTTTTACCCTCCCAAGTAACAGCATCGATGGTTTTTGACAGATGCAGAAAGACTTCGATACCTTCATCAGTGACTCCAGAGTCAAAAGCTTTGGCTAACCGTTTTCGCTCCTCAATAGCTTGTTTTTTTCTCAGCTCAACCTGTCCAAAGTAAAATAAAATGTAATTTAATCTCTCAATGTGATGATCTACTTACTTTGTTTATATTTAGGTGGGGAAGCGATGTTGAATTAAGGTCCTCTTTTTTTACTTCCTTTTTTATTTTAACGTCCGTTACATTGCTCAAATTAATTAGATGGACATCATTTAGACTTGCTTGTCCCGAGCTAGCCGGACATTTGATTAGCAATATTTTTTTATGATAATCAAAGGCTAAAACCTCTCCTTCGTAGACACCTTCATGACATGTAATTAAAGATATAATAGAACCTGCTGTAAACATGAATTCAGCATCTTCCGACATGATTAGGTTTGAGTTGCTATTAATAAAGTTCTTCATGAATTAATTAACAACAGTACTTATAGTTAACACAGAATTGTAAATCACGAGTTGATAAATTGCAAAAATAAACAATATTAATTTAAACTCACTGTTTATAAATCAGAACACAAAAAGGGGTGAAACTGTGTGGTAATTTTATTGGCTTGCCTCTTGAGGAAGCAGCTTATAAGCTTACAATAATAGACCCAAGCTTTGTTGTTGCACAAAGAATGCAAGAGATGGAGTTACAATGTGATAAAACCATTATTTTATTTCAAATGATATTTTAAACTTAATTTGTTACAATTTCAATCCATAATCGAAATTTTCACTCCAAATAAATCAATTTTAAAAAGATATGCCTAAGTACTTCATCCATTATCTATCATCATCTTTAAGCTTATGTACAAAGGTAAGTTTAACAGAGTTAAACACTCTAGTTAGCGAAAATCAAAAGACATTCAATAGCTTTTGCAAGCTTTTGAGTTCAAAAAATTTAATTTTACTTAAATTTATTCACTATCTCCTTAGATATCACCTATTGGAGTTTCGTATATCTGAAGAAGTGGTCCAAAGCTATTGGTACATGTTATCGAAAATAATGGACACAATGTAGAACTCATTAGCAGACTTTTGCTGCAACTATGAAACTTCAAACTATTAAAGTCAACAACAATTATGAATGTGATCGGTCGAAGGATCAACAAGCTTTGAAATAGGTCATTAATTATCCTTTGATTCAATTTCATCAGACCCATGACCAAAGCCAGCAAACATGATTGCTGGCTTTGACATTTTGTTGGAGCTTCTCTTTCAAAAGTACCGGTAAAAATCAATCCACTTTTTATTTGCTATCTTTGGTATGATTTCTTATTCCTTTTAGTTAAGTATCGAACCCAGGATTAGAAATTGTAATCTTAATTGAATTACAATAAATGTAATATTACATGTTTTAAATGTTATATTACATGGTTACCAATGCCGGCGTTAAAATACGGTGCAGTATGTAACAAGGTATCGGTCCCTCATGTTAAAACACATGTGAGATGTTGATTTAAATGATATGATAATAATTGGCAGTAAATTTTGAATCGTGTTTTTAAGATGCTTTTCAATCAAACTGGGAAATATGCTTTTAGCAAGCTAAAAATCGGTGTGATGGCTGTTCTCGGTGGCGGTGTGATCTTTTACAATCCACTCGTTAACTCATTAGGATTGTCTTCCAATGAAAAATTGCATTCATTAAAAAGGTAATGAACATTTCCTCTCATTAAGTGTATTTCAATTCTTTTAACTTTACTAATTTTTACCGCAGTGCTGATAATAAACTTGTGGCAGTCCCATACGATCTCCATCAATTCGCAGACGACATACGTAAAGACGTGAAAATGCTAGAGAAAAAAAAGATGGCAATCAAATTTTTTATCGTCAAATCATTAGATGTCATAACACTTGGTTATCTGGACATGGCTCATGGAGCTAGAGTTGGATTACCATATACTTTTATTTATGATAAAGAAGAAGATGTTGACCCAGCAGTTGTTACCTCAATCGTTGGTGAGAAAAGATTCATTGACCAGGATTGGTACAAATCGGAAAACGGTCAAAAGCTAATAAGAACAATCATATTGAGCAAAGAAGCTCGCAAATTCGCCATTGCTAGAGGTATAATTCATGCAGATTCTATAGAAGCCATTCTCATCGATTTCTTCACCCTGTTTATGGTTGCCTCAACCATCGCTGCGTACAGCCTTATGGAATCTAAAATGATTTTATTATTTGGTAAAGCTGCCGGCTTGACGATTCTCTCAGTTATTTTAGCTTGCACATTAATACCTGTCTTTGTGACTATTAAAAGTATAATAGCTCACGATTGTATGATGCGTTCTGATGATCGAACCTTGAAACAACCTAATAATGACTACAGATTAGGTGCTATTGAATATTATGAAAAGCTGATTGAGCGTAATAAACTTATGCGAGAGCTTCTCGTTGATGGTCCTGAGCGTTATAATGAAGATGGTTCCCCATTTGCAGCTTTCAAGAAAGTTGTCATACCACTTAAGGACAGGTTAACTAATTGCAAAAATGTGATTGAAGAATGGGAAAAAGAAACTCCTGTGATAATTCAAGAGTCGCTGTGATTAAGATTTAATTAAAAATTGGTTTCTTCGTTTGGACTGCAACCAGCCATTTGACAGTTATTTCATGGATCATCACAATTTTCATGATTCAACCAATTCCGATGTCTATAATTGAATGAACAAGGAAACGATTCACCATGATAGAAAATAGATTTACAATCTTCTCGTGATTTTGCCAAATTATAATTTGCTTATCATTAAGTCTCTCATTAATTTGGGCGAAAAAAGACTATTCATTGTGTTCATTAATGGTCTCTATTGGTTTGATTGAGCCCATCAATCGAGATTTATATCGAGATGCCAACTCTGAGCGAAACATGAAAATGCTCTTTAGCTTCAATCAAGACAAATGCAATCATCGACTTTTAATTTTCCAATCATCTTGATGTTAGCTATGAACAATCGATAGCTAACGAGAAACGGCATCAATCATCAGTTATCGAGAAACAAAGAATCAATTCATGAGATGAACTTTCGAGTCCTTGGATAAAACAAATTGCGATTCAATAACTGAAATCAAACTGTAGAAAAATATCAATAAATGTAACTTTAGATATAAAATTTACAATTTTTTTGCGATATCCATTATTGATTTGATTCTTTTATTCAAGAATGGATAGAACCATTAACATTGTCAAAGCCTTTGGAAAAAAATCAATAAATTTTGGATGGAAATTCATTAATAATTTATAAATACAAGCGAAGTATAATTTGAGCGACTGATCTTACAAGAATAGCTCAAGATAGTCTATAGTTTCAAGTTCATAGCAATTAACCAATTTATTAATTACAGCATTTTCCGATATCGAGCTGTTAATTATAGTTAATCATTGCAGAATCTCTTTGATGCGAAATCAATCAAACCTTTACCAGGCAATAAAAGATATGATGAGAGTGAAAATAAATGGATACAAAGTTAGTAAATTAAATAGTACACTAAGATCTTGTCCTTGATTAGGGTATTAAAGGTAACGAAGAAATCAGTTTACATTAAATATACCTGGAACTGTTTGCATCAATTAATATTCCTGATTGTACGGTGAAACAATCAAGAAAAATTGCTTATTCATGGCCAGGAAAATTTATATCACTTAGAAACACTTCATTCTTATCGGCTTGATTTTCAGTAACAAATGGTTTTTGAAACACTCGAGGAACAAACAACTTTATAATTGAAGCAGATTTGACAGTTTCAAAAGCTAAACTTGAATTAAATCAAAGGAGTAGAATAGAAAATAATCAAATCTCAACTAAAACAATCCTTTTAACTGTTGGTTTGAAATCGGAAAATCGCTTACGCCATTAGTGTTGGATTTTTTACTTCTAAAGAAGCAGTAAAATGGTCGAAATTGCGTCTTTTAAAGAGATTGGTACTAGCATTGAACCACCTTGAACTTTAAATCATTTGATCCATTTTACAGACTGAAAACTATTCAACTTGGCTATTGTTTTCCATTTGGCAGATTAACAGAGACTTTATTTGCACTCGGTATCCAATCTGAGTAGCTCGTAAGAAAAACACAAACCATGAGTTTCACTGTTGGAAGGGAAAAGAGAGAAAAGTTAAATATTAATTCAAATTTTGATGCATGTACAACAAAACTGCACAAGTGATTACCATTAATTTATTTATAATAGCAGTCATACGATAGTTGGAAGGTTATGGAAAGCATAATGAATTGGTAACACACTCAACGGTACACAATCACAGTTTGTATGTCAATTGATTTACCGAGGAACCATGATTATATTTCCCATGTTGTGAGGATAACAACCAATCAAGCATTTCCGGTTCTGCAAAAAGGAAAACAAAATTGAAATATTAGATAAAATAATCAATTGTCCTTGGGATAACAATGATTGAGTTACCAGTGGTAGAAACCAGCGAAAAAGAAAAATAATTTAAAAAAAAGGAAGAGAAGAAGAAACAGAAAAAGTAAAATTGGCAACTAAATGAAGCGAAAAGGAAAACACAAGAAAGAGTTGAAAAACAGAGTTATCGTGTGAATAATTCAGTACAAATAAAATTTGAGACGAAGAGCGAGAAAACAAAATTAAACCCAGACTTACCTCATTTTTTCCAACATAATTAGACAGTATACAATGGCAGGTAATTAAAGCACAGGAAAACGAAACAATCAGAGGAAATTTAATGGACAATCAATGGGCTGAAATTACATTTACCTTTTTTCTTTCTCATTTCTTGGCCTAATGATGTATTACATTTTAAAGTAATCACCATCATTACAATGATTTCCAGTTCAGAATAGCAATTGTTTTGTACAATTGTCCTTGAAAAACAATATTGAATGAATCACGCAATTTTAATTTGAACAATTTGATGAAAAAATAGTAAACAAAAGAGAATGAAGAAATACAGAGAAAAAAAAATGTCAATCATCTGGTTAAAGAGATTTGAAAAAGGCGCTTGTAGGTGGCAGTACATGAGAAAGTGTAAAGAGTCGATGTGATTGGTTGAAAAGAGTTTGTTTACATGTTGAAAAGGAGGGTTCTTGGATTGTTGGCTGATGAAGGCGCGAGAGGAAATACTGATGTTGGGTTTACTGTAAAAACGAAGACTAAAATGATGTGATGTTAAAGGAGTGAAAGAGAGAGAAAGAGAGAGATTGAGAGAGAATTTGAATTGAAACCGAATTAGGATAATTTTGACTCTCTCTCCCAATTACAATTACTTTTGATTATCTGTTGTCAACATTAGCAACTCTTGTCAATAACTTTGAACCATCAAAAAAATATAAAAAGGGAGTTGAAGTTAATCTAGTTGCAAGTTTCTTTTCCATTTTCACTCTTCTCATCTTTTCTCTCTATTTTTATGTATATTATTCACTGTTCTAATATAAGTTCCATTGCTCTGAACATCTTTACTCTTTCCTCGAACCTTCAAACAGTAACATCAAACATCTTTAACCATCCAATTTAAATCTCATCAACAACAGTTAAATTGTTCTCATCTCCATCTTTATACCCAAATGTCTCTCTAAACCCATTCATCTCAAAGTTGCTCTTTTTTCTCTTTCTTTTTTTTCGTTTTCGTTTTGGTTCATCTCTGAACTTGTCTTTCTTTCTTCAGCCAATCTCTTCAGTTGACCTACAAATTTAACCAAAGGACACTTGATTTTGTTTCTTTGTAAACTTGTTCAACCATCATGAGTACCTCAGTTTGTCAACAACCAGCACCAGCTCCTAGTGGACCAGAAATTGGTAAGTAACTTAATTACAATTTTACCTAAACATTTCATGCTTGACATACAGACTTTCAGTTGACATTTACATTACAAAAACTATCCTTCGATTTTTTTGATCTTTTCAAATTGTCCGTAAAATGTTCGTTTTATATCATTTGGTAAATAATAGATTGTACTTCATTTCATATTTTCCCTCCTTTCATTTTTTAACCTGATTATGAGTAATTAGGTAACATGAGGATATTGATAATTGTTACGTAATTGAATGTATTGATGAATTTTGTTGATAATCTTAAACGATTTTTTCTTCTTCTTCTTCTCTCCTTTTCTGATCAATTTCACATTGAAATGGAATTGTTGTTTATGAATCCATCGATACTATTAATACTTAATTAATCCACTTGATTTATCAATTTGAATCGATTTTCATTGTGAACCAACCTTCTATGTAAGGACGAAGATAAGTCTGAATGATATACAATAAATGAGCAAAGATTAATAAAAATTTGATGATGATCAACTAACAATGTTTCTACTTTGATTCAACACTTCTAGATGTAAACCTTATGACAGGAAAATGCCCTTGATAATATTTATATTACCTGTACCTATTTACCTGTCTCTTTTCATTCACTCATCACTGCTAGTTTCACAATCCTTTCTTGCAATTTAATCGTGTCTTTCAGAGAATCACATTTGTGTGAAAATACAATTTTCTTGACGCAAATTTTTCTCCACTTTTGTGAATCTCGACCATCTTGCTTCACTTGTTACCCTTACAGTTGCCAAAAAACTAAACATCATCATCAACTTTATTTACTACCTTCATCATCAGACTCGTTACATCATCTTTTACCTTTGTTTTAATCAACTAAATGTTACAAATGACAATGAAACGGTTAATTGCTCCAGCCATTACTAATCGTATTCCGTTGAGACCAATTTTTATGGCTCAAGCAATAGCACCTCGGTCTGACCATTGTTAGTTCAACTAGTTTATCAATCATTTCATGTGAATTTCATGTTCTGTACTCAAATTGTGTCCATTAAACGTCTCTGTTTCACCGTATTTTCATGTTAATTAACAACTACAAATGTTAACGTTAAAGACGTGAAAAAATGTTTAAAAATCCTAAATAAATACAACAATTGGATAAATATTAACTTTGATTGTTAAAAATGTGAAGGCAAGATTTAAAGAAGCCAAATGTAAATGAAAAATCCCAACATTTAGTCTGTGAAATTGTTCATTAATTGTCAAGTATTATTGTTAATCGAATACAGTTGAAGTTAAACCACTCTTAACTCTTTTTCCTTCCTCTTTTGAACCACTTTACATTTGAATCCAGGGCCAGCCAAGTGGACCCAATTCAATAGTCCAACACTGGCTCCAGGTAAACGTCAATCGCCCATCAACATTGACCGATCAACATGTTTGGTAAAGAAACATTTGGTTGCCCGACCCTTGCGTTACGAGTTTCCAACTCTCATCGAAAACCTTGAAATGGTCAACTCGGGCCATGGATGGACAGTCAACATTCCACCACACATTGCGGATAAAACAGGTAAATATGAACACAATTGAACATCTTTAAACTAAAAGGCACTCAATTTTAATGGTGTACAAATTTCACACTCAAAGAGTTTATTGTTCAATTATTTACACTGAAAATGTGCTCATCATGATGAAATATTTTCTCCTGAAAAACAAACATGAACATTATTCATATCATCATGTTTCCCTTTCAACCTTTTTTCACCTAAATTTCACTTCATTTCTCTCATGAACGTCTTTATTGCTAGACATGTTGACAAACTACCAAAGTCGAAATGCAAAAGTACCTCAACATCTCAAGTTGCTAATCATCAATCAACTAATCGATCGATTTTTCGTAAATAAAACGAGAAAACATTAAACCAAATTAACCTTGAAAAGGTAATGTTAAATGTATCGATGATTAATGACTCTCAATGTGTGTACTTTATTACAATTAAACAATTGTAATAACAACAATGGTCACATGAAAAATTCACTTTTTTTGCTGGAAAAAAGAAAATTTCATTTTTTCTTCATTTTCTTATGAAATGGGTAAACAGGGAAACCTTTATGACAATTGATTTGTTTTCATTCAATGAAAAATCCATATCTCATTGAACATTGAAATGTCTTTCAAATCAATTTTCCTCATCTTTGTGATAAAATTTTAATGCGATTACCTTTTCTGTTCAAAATCAGATATCGATTGATTAATATCTCAATTCGTCTCATCACTATCAATTAATCGATCCATAGATTATCTTGCGATGGTTAATCTAATCATTAACATTGAATAAGAAAAAGAGTTTTCATGGAGATTCATTAATTTCACTTCTCTCAATCAGCCTTAGGCTCTTGTTGTTACTTGCATTTCCCAATTGATTGTGTCACTTATAATACCTGTTTAAACTGTTTCAGCAATAAATAGTCACCTTTCAATGTATCCATTTTCATTATTTTACCTGATTAACATCAAATGTAAACACGTATTTATCTCATTAACAAGGTTAATAAAACTGATTAACTGTTTTATTTCCTTTCATTTGATTCATTTGCCACTTTTGTATCAATTGAACATTTTTAAGCATAAAACTTCACTTATTTTCAATTTACAAATCAATTTTCATATTAACACAATTGACTTTGACAGAAGTAACCTTTCAATATTTACGTAGGTTTTCACCTTTACTCAGCAAAACCTAGACTTTACATTGTTACGTTTCAAGTTGAACATTTTTTTCTCTCTTTCAAGGTTAATCAATTCTTCAGAACTTTTCTTCCTTTTCTTTTGATTGCCTTGATTTGCTTCGTTTTGCCCAATTTTATTGTTGCAATCAATTTAATCAAATTCAATCAATCAGTTTCTTCAAGAATCGTCTCTTCTGCTCGACTTAACACCAACAATTGGCTGAATAATTAATTGAACTGATAATTACGACAATTGAAGAGACAAACAGATTACCCATTCAATTCACTTTCATGTCGAGTAACCTTTACTTTCAATTAATGATACTCAACTTTTCCCTTTTTTCAGGCCAAAAATCAATCCAATTTCAATCAATAAGTTAACCTGATAAATTGAATTATTCAACCCAATTTCATCGCTCAATCCCAAGTGCAATTGTATCAGTTTTTACCATCAGATGAATAATATTTAGTCATCATTTTTCAATATTGAATAACTTCCGACTTGAACTGACTCTTGAGCCAAAATCAACTGTCGATTCAAGAGTCGATTCAAGAGTTGAACATTTTTCGTCTCATTTCTAGTGCAAAGGCATAAAAGCATTGAAAGCTTTGACTCTTTGCGTGTCTAACAAGTTGATATTATATTGAATATCATCTGCGAAAAGAAAGTAATAATAAAATAATAATAATGCAGGCAGAAAAAAATGTATATCAAGAGTAATATATTTTAATAAAAAGCAAAGGAAAAGGAGAAAAAAATTGTTCAACATAAAGTGTTGATCTATTCATTTATTCTGATAAGTGGCTTCATGATTATCTCCATTCATATTGAACATGATGCTTAAGCCACTCAAAGACTCAAACAAAAAATGCTCATCTAATTTAATAAAATGTTATATACTTTTCAACTCCCAAGACCAAAATAAGGCTTAAACGAAAGTTGAACGAGATAATAACTCTGGGCGTTATCATTATTATTGCATTTCATCATTTCCATTATTTCCATTATTTCATGAATATTCATTTTGTATCCAGTATTCAATTTTTTATAAGAAACTCGAGAATTCTTGACGTTCCATTCTCATGTAATAACTTTTAATGCAAGTCAAACATCAATCGATTGTAAGGTTTTTGTTAACATTTTGTTTATCAATATTTGTCAATATTATTTTATCATTATTATAACTCCAAGTGACTTTTTAAGTGATCCTTTCATCTCTTCGTTTGTCGATAATTTTGTCAACAATTTGATATTCAATTAAGTTTTTGTTATTAATGTCTCTCACAATTTATATTTATTAATATTTATCATAACTGACAATTATTGTTCATTTTATAAAAAGCTTGTACTTTAATTATATTAATGGTTCATTTAATTCACTTGCTTTATTCATTGCTATTATGATTAATGTTTCATCACCTTAGGTAAATTCAATTTCATCAAACATTGAATTTGCATTGAAATTACTTTCTCACTGTTAATTATTTTTATTATTTTTGCTGATTGCAGTTTTTATTAGTTTTGTTTGCTTTGATGAACAGTTGAGAATCTTGTTTATTGAATTGATTAAAAAACATGAATAAGTTGAATAATTGCTTGAAATTTTAATGTTGATTCCTTTATTGTTTACATGTCATTCAATATACTCAATAATCTTCCAAAGGTAGAGTGAAAGTTCATGATAAATTCATCATGTTTACTTGTAATTCAATATTTATCCTTAGATAAAGTAAATTGTTCCCCAGTTCATTTGCAATTCATCTTGTTCGAATAAACCATTTTCTCGATAAAATTTTCATCAATTTGTCTCCATAATTAACGAGTTTGGAACTTTCAGTTTAATGAAAAAAAAATTGTCAAACATTTCAACTTATTTTGCACTCGACTGTCAACAGGGAAAATCTGATTTTCTATTTAAATGTTAACCTTTCATCAGTTTGATTAGCAACTTTTGTTTGCCTTTTAATTGATTCTCATGTGATGCTCATGTTACCTTGAACATTTCAAACTCTTATCGATCGACCTCAAGGTTTGAATAAACTGTGCCATTATTCATTTCGATTCATCTCTTTAAATGGACATTAAATTTCATCTCTTTACTCTCACAGCACTGACCGATGGACCTTTGACATATAAATATAAATTGGTTCAGTTTCATGCTCATTGGGGATGTGATTCGTCCTGTGGCTCTGAACACACAATTGATGGCCATTCCTATGCAGCTGAGGTAAATAATTAAATCTTGTTGATAGAGTTTACTCAGAAAGTTATAAAGTTCAAACGTCCATCAAAAATCAATATGAAACTAGAGCTTCATGAGAGATTAATAATTAAAAATCCATTTTTCAATATTTAAACACTTAATTTTTACCATTAATTGTTACCTGTTATCCTTAAAAACTGTTAAAGAAGTGTAACCAATTTTTGAAAAATTTGTTCATTTTGTTCAAATTGACTCTTTAATTAAGCTAAGAAGCAATTTGTTAATTGTGAGATCCATTAACAGTATAATCATTAATTATAAATTTGAAGCTAATTTATTAATAACTTGCTTTTCTTCGTCTTTTAGCTTCACTTTGTCCATTACAATTCAACCTTATTTTCATCATTTGGTGAAGCCGTTCAAAAGGATTTAGGTTTATCCGTAATTGCCGTTTTCTTGGAGATTGGAAACAAGAAGAATGATCAAGTTGAAAAGATTGTCAAAAATCTAAAGTCGATCAAGTATAAAGAGGAGAAGACAACCATTTCAGAGGCGATCTCACTCGCAGGATTTTTCCCTGAAAGTAAGAATTGAGCAACACTCGAAAGATTTATCAGTCAATGAATTATCATTTCAATATTCACATCTTTTTCCCTATTGCCTCATGTTATTCAACAACATGCCTTTCCCTTTACCCTCAACTTATCGTTTTGTAACCATTTATTTGTGATCCTTTTAATCATGATGCATATGAGTACATGATTGAATCACCATGTGACTGGCAATCTTGAACCATTTGCTTACCAATCCACTGAGAACGTGATTTCAGGTCTTCTGATTTTTCCCTCAAATCCAAGGAATGAAAATAATTTACAAATTAATCAAACCATTTTTTTGTCACATTTAAATTTTCCATTGTTGCTATTCTTGTCAGATTATTACTCAATGCCTGTAAGTAATATCATGGTAAATCATCCGATGTATCAAGTTAATGAAAGCAAGTTGAAGAGAGGAGAAAGAAAAGCAAAATTTATCATTTTCATTCTCAGGAAGGAAAAGGTATTCAAAGAATCGACGAATCATGAAAAGATTGAACATGTAAAAAGGGTTAAGATGAAAAGATGATGAAAATGTTGATCAATTTGCTTTTACATTTTCCAGGTTTACAGGTAAAAACGTTGCAAGTCTATCAGTGTTTTCACTTGTGAACTTTATTTGTTCAGACTTACAGAATCTTATTCATTTCCTTTATTCCATTCAGAGTAATGTTTTCTTTATCTTGATCCAATTTTATCCCAATCTGACCACCATTGGAATCCTTGATAAAGGCTTGGTGAAAGGCTTAGAAAGTAGAAAATCTTAATTTAGTAAAAAGGAAATAAAGAGTTTACTTCTTTCATTAAATGTTCAATTATTGTTACCTTGATTAAGATGTAACCATTATTGTTGACTCTCTTCATGTTATTGCTATTGTTAATTTTACCATTGAAAGTTATCCATTTATATTGATGTTTATGGGCAACATTAAGATTGTGTTAAATAATTTTCAATGGTTTAGGGATCAACAAATTGTTAAATTGTTTAACTTGATTTACTTTCATTTTAATCAGGTCAACATACAGTTTCTTAATGTTGAAAAGGCTTTTTATTGTTGTTCATCGATTCAATTTTACAATCAAATTGCTTGCCAACAGCTTTTGAATCAATTTTTGTTTATTGATGCTTTTGCTTTCCATTAATCAGTTGTTTACATTATTCAATCAAATTTGTCTTCGTTTTTTGACCTCATTTCCCGTGTTTAACATGCTTCTAATTAGGGTCACTTAAATTATAATGACACTTGGTGTTGCTAATAAACTGCTTAAATAATTAATCATCATTATCATCAATATAAACTGAGTGTTAATCCATTCATTTACCAATAGATTCACCATTTTCCGAATGCAAGTTATTTTATGCAAATATCGAGAAACCAAACAAAATGAATTATGAAAAAATGACATTTCAATGTTGAATATTGAATAGACTGATTTATCGATTTTCATCCAACTCATCCAAATCTAATTTACCTTTACTAATTTTTTGTTTCTTTTCCTTTTCTATTTTTTAGAGAAATCATATTTCACGTATGAAGGATCATTGACAACATCGCCATACTATGAATCTGTAACTTGGATTGTCTTTGAAAATCCTGTAACAGTAACTGTTGATCAGGTGAGGAGTCCAGTGAAACCTGAAAATTTGTTTATCCCAGTCAGACCCAATCTTTATTGTATTACAAATGGCTCTAAGTCTGAGCTTTCAATGGACCATTTTGATTGAATACAATCTTGGAATGATAATTTGCTCCAAAATGGATCCAGTTGCTTTCACTTTGCCTCTTTGCTCATCATGTTACCAAGCTATCACTTTTAATCGATAACAGGGAAGGATGAAGAAAGTAAACTGGAAAGAGGAAAAAATGAGAAGAAAAAGGATAATATAAGAATATATCATTTTTCTTCCTTCTTTTTCTTTTTCCACTTTTTCTACTTTTTCCTTCTCTCTCAGCTTATTCCATGAGAAATATCTTTTTCCTTTCGTCAATAGTTTTCATCCATTTAGTATTATATATTGATGACACAAACATTTCTTCCTGTATTTAAAACAATAAGATCCCTTACTGTTCGTTACTAGGAATGCGCAATGACCATAATCATCCAACGTCTCAACGAAGATTCAACTTATCAAATTAACCGATTCCCAATTGGAAATTTGATATTTACAGTGACATCTATTGCTGTACATTTCAAGCTTTATATCAACTTTGTAGTCATAGAGTCTTCAAACATCTTAAGGATGTTTAATTTACATTTTAATTAACCTTTCATTAGTATTTCGCACCAATCAATTAGAGTCTTAATTGACAATTATTTTCGAGTTAATTTGATAATCACTTTTGCTTTCTGTATTCTTCCTGTTTTTCAATTGAATCTTGAACCAGTTTATTCAGACCGTTGAATATAGATTATAATTTGTGTAATTTTGAGATTGTTTTTGTTACATTCAACACGCTAAATTTTACTATGTTTGGATGTTGTTTTGGTGGTAATAATTCGTTATTTTTTTGTCCTCATTTCTGATCATTTATGTTCAAGATAATTATTGAATGGTATCTCTAATCAATTTTAGCAGATATTGGGATCATTGAACTTTGTCAGGTTCTTTGTTTATTTCAATCATTATTTAGAAATGATGAGCTTTTGTGCATTATCTGTAATCACATTCATTATTCTTATATCTCATTCAATCTCATTCAAAATTTATTCTAATCTGTTTTTTCATTTTCCATTTTTTCCTTCCTTCCTAGATCGTTTCAATGAGACAGTTAATGTGCACAACCAAAGCAATGGAGAATAAAGAATCACATGGACTTGCCCAAAACTATCGATTACCTCAGCCATTGAATGGACGTGAGGTTACTTACGTTCGCTAAATAAAGAATGAAGGAGAAGCTGATGAAATCTGTCGACAAATGACTATTTTTTAATCTGAATGTAAAGACAGATTTTACAAGCTTGAGGAAGATGAAAATGAACCCAACCTACAAATTTAAAGGATAACCATGCCAAACAAACCCAACAAGTGTAGCTTCAAAGGTCCTTTAGAGTCCTCGTATCGTAACTCTTCCTTATCTATTGAATCCGCCAATCGTGTAAAAACACTGTCAAAGACAATCAAGAATCGACGACGAAAAAAAATAGTCTTAATGAAAGGAGAAAGCCTCTATTTTCGAGTCCAATGCAACATATAGTGAGTTTTAAACCTCAAACAACGAGTCTCAATTGAGAAACCAAGGATATTCAAAGCAAAATTCATAGACGTAAAAGAATCCTAAACCTTTAATAGCTCTCTACTAATTCAAAGTCTTTCGAGTTGTTAACCTGTTCACCTTTTTTGGTAAAATACCCTTCACCTTCCTGCCTGAGTCTACTTCATCAAAACCACCACTTTGACCTGATTTTTTGCTCTCTATCCTGTTAATTATAAACACTGATGATTTCAAAGCACAAGACAAACAACCCAGCAAAAAGCATCTTATATTAGACATGAAAGTCACAAAATAGCTGATTATATTTTATTGTTACATTTAATATATATTTCAATCAACATATTGTTATTTTGAATGAAGTCTACATTTACATTCAACAATGTATTACCAAGCAAAGGTACCATTATGGACTGGAGTGATCAATCGCTGGAAATTATAGTTTAATCGAGAAGATCAAAAGTGTCAAGCAATAAGCAGCTACTTTATGGAAACACAAGGAATTCCTTGGACTGACGAAATTTTCTGTTCAAAATTTCCTGATAGATCTGAATATAATCAAAGTATTATTATAGAGATATTTTACCCTGTATAGCAAAGGGAAAAAATTGAAATGAAAATTATTATTTGTAAATATTTAACCACTTAAAAGCCAAGCAAGGAAAGGATTTACAATTTTCTCCTCTCATTGTAATAATTGGTGCTGCAATATACAATTAATTACCATTTGCAACAAAGTCAACATTATATGCAATTGTTGGAAGTTTAAAATGATTGGAAATGCGATGAAAAATGACATTGTTAATCGCTGACTGAGCTAATTGTGATGATTATGGACAAACAAATGTTCAAATGAATGTATCAAAATGTATTTGAATGTATTTTTCACCGAAGAAAGCCATTGTAAAGACCTTTTTATTTTTCAGTTAATTGTTGGCCAACGAAAAGATTGTTAAATTTGTTAAACTTGTTCTGATTAGACAATAATGTTGTACAATGTAATCTCAATCAGTTGACCAGATTAATTTAATTTTGTCTATATTGCATGTAGTCGGGAGATTTCTTGGATTTCCAAATTTCTCTCAAATTGCATTTCTGGTCAACTGTTTAGTTACATTAATTTAATAATTTGAATTGTATCAAGCGTTTTACTTGTTAGTATTAATTGCTATTATTGAACATTTCTTTTATTGTTACTTCTATTTGATCAATTGTTAGATTTAATATTATTTGTTCCTTCTTTGATTATTATTTTACTTTAACAGTTGAAATGTAGCTCAACAATTGTTAATTCAGCTGTTATTCAATATTTCAATAATTATCATTTAGATGATAAATCAAAAATCAATTGCAAAAGTAATTATTTTAAAATTAAAAACAATTTTCGATTTTATCAAAGTCTAGCTTCTTTCTAAATCAAGAGATGGCGTTTACTTCGCAAAATTTACCGGTTTCAATCAAAAACTGTCAGTCATGTAAATGTAAATTTTCAGTTCTGGTATTAATAACATTGTAAGTTTTTCTTTGTAACAATTTAATAACCATATTTACATAGATTCTGTGCTCAATTCTGGTTGAGGAAACTCTAATGGTAAGTTATTTTACTATAAATGTAATTTCCATGTTTTCGTTTAATATCTTTTGAACCAGAGTTACCTTAAAAGATTTGCTTTTCTTCCTTCGACTTCTACATTTCTTCCACCTGTTAATCTAATAATAATGTTATTTTCACATAATTATTTTTCCTCAGATTTTCTTAATGTCATTCAACTTATGGCAAATGTCTGCAATAATTATTTGGCCACCTTGGTTCAACTAGTATTTTCAAGCCACGAGGGAAGAGGCTCAAGAAAAGGGATTTTCCGCGCTTTTTTGTTTGGTGATGGCAAATATTTAACAGCTCTCTGGTCTTTACTAACACTGGCTGTAAATGGTTTATCTTACCTTATTAATAGACTGCCATTATTTTAAGAGAATTTGTTGTTATCAAATTTGAGTTTTCTTAAAAAATTCACATCAAGCCATAACTTACATCCTCAATGTACCGAATTATGCACTTCACGTAATTTACATATACACAAGTTAATGTTGTTAATATGTTTTCTTATCATCTTAGCAGAAAGTAAACTCATCAAATGTTTACATGGAACAGCACGTGTTGCAATCAAGTTTACATGGTACAGCCTTTTACTTTGTGGACTGAATTATGGTCAACAACCAGCTCTATGTTAAAGTGGAACTCAACCTGCCTCAATTTGATTCAATTTGGTCCAAGTGTTTAGCTGATTATCTTGTATTGTCCAATTCATTACCAATTCACCCTATGAAGCAGTAGCAGTTGCACATCCATTAATAATTCCTGAATTTTGGCCAAGAATCAACATTGTAAACTAAAGATCTTGAAAGCGGTTAAACTAACGACCAATCCTTCATGAATCAAAGAGTTGAACTCTTTATAAAAATTGTGTGATCAAAATGAAACTCATGTATGATGAAAGAAGCTCCAACAAAATGAGAAACTGAACCGTTCAAGTTTTCTCTCGAATCTTTTCCATTAATTTATTTTTTCAATTGTGGAATTTCCAGAGAAAAGATTTCAATCTAGCTTGTAAATCTAAATTCAGAAGTCATTTGTGATCTTATAAAACCATTCGTTTTTTTCACCAAAATAAAAGTACATCTAATTCACTATTGCAAGCGCAATCTCATTGTACAAAATGTAGACAGAGTCGAGTAAAAGAGTTGAGATGAAAAAAAGAGAGACAGAAAAGATTGTAGCTGAAAAGCTTTCAAGATTTGAAAGCAAATTACTGTTAGTCTATACTCGATTTCCCATTGAAACAGTTTTTTCCCTGACAATTTTCAGTGAGGATAAACGGTCAAACTTTGGACAGTTGACAAACACATCTAGAAAAGTCGAAACAGTTTACGAAGTGTTAATCAAAGTCATCAAGTTAACCTAGAAACAGGATAAAAAAGGTAATTGTTATTCAGTAAAGTCAATTAATATCAATGCTGTGATTATATGTTTAACTTGACCAACCTTAGACAACATTAAAACCTAAACTGAACCAAGAACCACGAAGGTTAATCTTTGCACTCAAGTGATCTTCAAATTGATACAATTAATTGTTACCATCAACATAACCATTAAGTGGTGTTAAAAAAACATTTGAAAACCCAAAACGGATAAGTTTACCAGCGGAAACAGTAACCTGAAAAGGCGAACCTTTCCAATCCAAAATGGCCAATTAGATTGAATTGTAAGTAAAAATGTCTTTTAAACATCTGACATTGATACTCGACAATGTCCATTGCCTTTAAAGTCGCCTGATTAAACAAAAGTGAAATGTCCAAAAGATAAAGATTAACGAAAAAGGTTGATCGAAATGTTGAGGAAAAGTTTTGTTCCCAATTTGAACAAATGTCTGACAATAGACAATGATAACTCTGAAACAGATTAACTTTCCATGTAAGAAGCATGTGAAGACAAAAAAGACTCAATCGTAGTTCATTGAAGTGAAAAACCTAGAATCATTTTGATACAGAAAAGTCGATTGAAGTTAACGTTTTTTCATTCTTGGCTCAACCAATTGATTTCACTTTCACAAGCTTTTAAAGGAAACTTGAAAATGTAGTTTCAACATTTTCACTTTTTTACCGCTTTTTAAGCTCATTTTTCCCCAATTTTAAAGTTGAAACTTTTCTTCAGATGAAAATAAAAGCAACAAAGAAGTAAATACTAAATCAATAGAGAAAATGTTATCTAATTATATCATCATTTACAGAGTGATTAAAGTACAACAGAAAACTAAAGAAATGTGAAAATGATTGATTTCCTTGTTTGGCGCTTTTAATGAAGAGTCAACAATCATTAAACAGTTTAAATTATTTTCAATCGATTCAAATTTTCACCATTTTCTCAGTGGAAACTGATGAAACAATGTTATCAAGACATGAAATAGTCTAAATTGAGACAAAAGCTTTTATTGCAATCAATATTTTTCATTGTCATTCCTCTAATGATGCCAGTCAACCTTTGATTAGACATTGGATGTGAAAAGTTCTGAAGGCTCCAATGGATAACATGAAGAATATGAAAAACGAAAATTTCCTGGTTTTCGGAATGTTTCCCAATTCCATGGAAATAATCGTTCGATATTATTTTTTTGACTTTTCGATTTAAATTTCATTCGACAGAATTTTCTGTATATTCTTCATCCTATCAAGTTCTGGAGATAAACGTGTTTGGAATGTTTCCTCGAAATTTTTTTTTCTAAATCGAACGAAATTTCGATCGAAATCACTATTTTCAAAGAAATCTTCTGTTTCCAACTTTTCGTTCATCTTTTAAACGAAGCTTCCAATTACGATGCAACAAAGAGTCGATTCAGTTGAGCAACAATTAAAGGTTGCAAGTAAATTATATGTTTTCAGGGAAGACAGAAATTCGATGATTAATAATGAGAAAAGATATTCTAAGAATACCATAAATATTGAGTTTGATCTTGAAAGCGTCCAAATTGACTGGAATAAATGAAAGTCTAAAGCTTTCAACAAATCATTTGGGCAACTTTAATCATCATTCAAGATTAGATAATTGAAACTTTAATGGAACAAAAAAGACGAACAGATTTATTCATCAGTTATTAAAGTAATCAAGTGATTATTAAATAGTTATTGGATTATTATTCAATTGCTTATGAGCTTTTATTGAATCAAATTTGATTCCTTTTTTTCCATCATCTCATTTCTTCCCAGTAAAAGTTCACTCTACTTTTCTTTTTTTAATTTCAACCTTTTTCTAATGATATCATGTTCAGAAAAGAAACTCAAACATCTTTCTTCCTCCACTTTCTTCATGATCATAATGAATTGCTCATCATTCTGAGTTAAATTCCCAATAAAAGTAGCTCTTAATATTGATAATGTTTTCCCAGTTTAATAACATATTCTCGACTTTATACTTTTTCTGGTAACACATAAAATCAATTGTAAATTGAACCAGATTATCTTTCAAAGTCAATTTCTTTTCGTTTTTTATCGCCTTTCTTCTTCTTTTTTTCCCATGATAATGATGATGATATTGTTATTCAGATATTGAACAATATCAACTGATAAACAAGTTTAAACGGCCGTGAAAACGATCAAATTTAAATGTTCAATTTAGCATTTATAGTAAAGTGAATAAATCGAAAGTTTCTCTCTTAATTTACACTTTTAGAGGCTTTTTGATTCGAAATTTTTTCCACCTGAAATTAACATTTTGATGAGAAATGAAAGATTGAGTTTTGAAAACTTTTGCGTGCATTCATTAGAAATTAAAATTGATTTTCTTTTTCAATCGAAACAACAGAATGAATCGGTGTTTTCAGACAATTGAACAAATGGTTAAGAATGAAAATGCAATTTTTTTCTCGAGATGACAAGAAGAGCAAAGGGAAAAGGAAAAAAAATTTTCGAACTTGAAGTTTACTAAAAAAAAGTTAATAGTCCATAATCTCATCTTAGTTAATACTTGATGATAAGTTTCCATCATCAGATGAAAGGAAAATTGTTCAATCTGAGAATCTTGATGATGTTGTTATATGCAATGAGAATCTTGTGTCAACTGGAAATTGACAGAAGAATGAAGATGAAGGGAAAGAAGATGAAAACAAATGATTAAATACACGCAACAATGGATCAATTGTTTTATCATTTTTCGTCTCTCAACATGAAAGTTTATAACATTGTAAGATAATCCCTTGAGAAGCAAAAGATTGGTGACATGAAGAGAGAGACAGAAAAAATGATAAATAACTCGATATCAGAAAGGCAAACATGGTAATCATGATGATGATCATCTGATGATAACTTTGTTTTCTCTTTTTATTCACTTTTCTCCACTTTCTCTACTGGCCTCGTCTCACCACTTGCAACCTTGATTATCTACTATTCCCTTCTGAGGTTAAATGAAAGACAGAGACACGTACATTTAATTACAATTAACCCGAACTACTTTTCATGTTGATTAGCATTTGCAGCCTTCATCTTGTTATCAATGCCTTTTTGGGTCTCTTCTTGTCCTTTTCACTTTACCTTATTCAATGTGCATTATGCAGTTGACAAGTAAAATGTTTAACCCAAACTCAATTTACATTTTTACCCAATTGCGACTTTTGCCTTTACACTCGAGATTATCGGTAAATCATTAGATTTTAAACTCAACATTTGACTTCAACTTTGTTCAACCCTTTTCTTTATTTCCATTATTAACTTCAATTGGCTTTTCAATTCTCAATGTTTGAAGCCAATGGTTTCTCTGTCAAACGTGAAATGATTAGAACCATAATTAAAGGTTTACGTTTTTTCACTGTTAATTTTGTTGCCTGGTAACTGTCATTATATATCTAAATATATGAAAATAATTTCAAGTTTCCCTAACAGTTGCAGTTCATTTGTTAATCAATTTATGAAAATTGCGATTCTCTGTTCATCAAATGTTCAACTAGATTCCAGTTTCTTTGCTCATCAACATATTGAATGAAGAATGTGTTTTTTAGGGAAATCTTTTTTTGCTTTCAATTCAAATTACATTTTATTTTTTCTTCAGGAAAATGACTTTAAATATTTTCAATGTCAAGATTAAGTTTTAATGAAATGATCAACTGATTTGCGTGAAAATAATCCAATAACTCAATCAAAATTTCCTGCTTTTCCTCTTTTCGATTTTATTCTCACTGAAATAATGACAGACGGAAGATTACATTTTCCAACTTTACCTTTTTACTTAATTATATCATGATGAGATAGTTTTGTCATTTTCATCTTTTCACTGTTTCATTAAAGGTATCATCAGAGAAACCTTATAATCTGTAGAGTGAACAAAGGCAACCGATAAAAAGCTCATCATAATTTTGGTTCCATCAGAGTAAATGTTTAATCTTGTTACAAACCAATTAGTAAATGAACACAGATTCAAATACAGAACACAAAGGGAATGTAAAGGCGGTCAAGCATGGATGCTGATAATCATGATATTAGAAAATTGAGTTAGAAACAAATCTATGATTCTTGAACTGCAATTATCTCTGATAACGAAGGGTTGATTAACCATTTCCAAGTTACTCAACAACCAGCCTTTAGGACATCAATCATCAATCAACTTCTGTAGCTACTTGTAAACGCAGTTCGAACGATTTGCAAAACCAAATTAGGTGAAAGAGATGAACCTTTAACTCCATGAATAAGCTGCTAATGAAGCTGCTTGAGCGTTTTCTAGAGAAACACAAATCCAAGTCTCTTCCAACACAGACATCAAACTAATTGGTGTTTATTTACTTCAGAATTGATTATAAATTCTTGTTGACACCAAACAATATTTACAGTTTCAACTGATCAATGAAGCTCGACTCGTGACTACATTCAAATCATGAATCAGAATCAAAAAGATGTTCACAGAATTTTGCTTCTTATCATGAAACTTGAAAGATGCTTAAAGGCAAAACTGATTTCTTTCACTTGTCAGCTTCAACTGGCAAAACTGAAAGTCTCGACATTTCATCTTTTCCTTCATCAATTGAATAATCAACTCTTTGAACCTTAGTAACTCATGAAACTTGACTCGTTTATTTACATAAAATTATCTTTTACCAGAAAATTTGTGCAAAACCTTTTCTCCAAATGTTCACTCGTTTAGACAAGTTCAATAGCATTGTTGCATATCACTTAACCTTTCAACCTTTAACCAGGCATCTGATCGCATTTGCAACAAGAGAAGTGTCAACTTGAATCCAGCAACAACATCTTGTGCATGATAAACTCAAGATTAAATTAGAGTAAATTGAAAAGTTGAAAAACAGAATCTGGTTAACCTTTAAATAAACTTGCAAAAAGTAAGGCGAAGCAAAACTGAACTAAACTTGTTGATTAAAGATTAACATTTTTGAAACATTTATACATGAAAAATAAATCAATCAGACTGTTCATTCTTAACTATTAACCAACTCGAATCTCGAATAATCTCTCGAGAGGAAATAAATTTCGATTAAAAAACGAATCTTAAATTTTCTTATTCTTCTGTAAACAAATTTCTATTAATAAAACCCTTTGCCCTGAATCAATCACTTTTCCCTCATCAAAATCAATTGGAATCACAGAACTAAACAGTTCATGAACAGAGACATTTCATCCGACGATAATATTCATTGGAGTAAATTCAATTTCCTTGCATTTCACAGAGCAAAGCTTAACTTCATTAACCTCAATCAATCTAATACCT